GGCTCGGGCCGCCGCTGCCTCCGGGGGCGGGAGGGGGTGTCCCTGCCGTGCGTGCGCCCTGCACCGGGAGGCGCCCTGCGTCCCCAGCCCGGCCCACGGCTGCGGAGCGCGTGGTAGCACGAGGACCGGCGAGCCCCCTCGCCGCCGGAGATGGAAGGACGCTCCGCGGGGAGGGGTCGGGGGTGGCTCCGAGGGTGGGAGTCTGAAGGGTGGGCGGCAGACCGTCCCGAAGTGACAGCGCCAGCTCCTAGCTCGTCTGGAGTGCAAGTGAGATGGGGGTTGCGAGCCAGAGTAAGTTTGGGGTCCGCACCTAGCTAGAGGAGGGCCCCCCAGGCTGGATGAACCTTGGAAAACAGTGCAATTGGAAAAGGAGACTGGGTCTCTGCCAAGGAAGCTAGCAAATTGATGAACCTCCATCTGGGGCTCCTGGAGCCCATGGGGCTCAGAGGTGTGGGGGCAGCACAGACCCAGCCCTGGGCCAGTGGCCCCAGTACTCATGTCCGTTCACTGGCTCTCGCGTGGTCCCGGTCCCTGGCTCACCTGGTGTGGGACCCCTGCCCTGTATGTCCAGAAAGGTTATGGTCTTCTTGTGGAGCTGAGCAAACACTTCCTCTTCCCCACGGCCTGGAAAGACCAGGTCCTGGAGGAGATGTGGCCAGAGTGGGGATGGGTTGCATTCCTGAAAAGAACTGGGCCAGATGGGTGGTCCCAGGAGAAGGCTTCTTCTCAGCCCCAGCTAGGGAGGGAGGGGAGGGCTGGAGAGGTTTCTCATACAGGCTGAATCCACTTTACTTCATGGCACCTAGCAAAGCGTGAGCTGAGATGCTAGGGGAGGAATGGGGACATTCATCCCCAGCAGGGGGTGCTGAGAGAATGGGCTCCTGGTAGGGGTGAGGCGTGGAGAGGCCTGGGACTCTTAAAAGGGAGAGAGTTGAAGCTGCACGTGTGTTCTTTGGAATTGTGCCCGCGGGGAAGGAGACTGAGTTTAGGGAGAAAGTGGTGGAGGTGGGTTGATGGTCCCTGGAGAGGGTAGGGCAGTCCTGCCTGGGGTTAACTGTGTTTGAGGAGCAGCCTGGTCTGGAGGAAGCTTGTGCCCCCTTGTGTTGAGTGCACCCAGGCAGAACACAGCCACTGAGTTGCTGTGTGACCTTGAGGGCATAGCCTCAGGTCTCTGGGCCTCTAGGTGAAATGAGCAGGTCATGGGGTCAGGGGTGATCCAGGCCCAGAGTGTCCTTCCCTGGAGGCATACGGGCCAGGGCCAGACAGGCAGGCTGGGAGCCACCAGTAGATGGACGCTCTCTTTAAGGACAGAGTCAACGAGACTCAAGGTCCTGGAGAAGACCTCCAGTCCAGCCTCCCTGCCGTATTCCCAGGACCCTTCTGGATGAACCAGGCTGCCAGGCTGACCCCTACGTGGCCCTCAGTATGGCTCACTTGTACCTACATTTGGATCCCCCAGGGCCTGGCCAGAGACAGAGCACATGGTAGTTGCTTCATAAGCGAGGATGGAAAGCATGAGGGCAGAATGAGGAGCTGGGCGCCTGGGGAGTCAGAGGCAGAGTTTTGGGGTTTCCTTGAGCACTGTCTCTTTATGGACCCCTCACTTGGATATCGGAGGCAGGGGCTGAAGGAGTAGGGGCCGAGCTGCCTGCACCCACTGGGGCCTGGTGTCCTAGGAGCTCGCTCAGACCCCAGCAGCAGCTGGGAGGGACCCTGCTTGGGGTCACACGTGGCCAGGTAACTGACTGGGCTCCTTGTCTCCTGTGGCCCCAGGAACTCATGACAACTCTGGACAGGTGCATACTCGGGACCCTTCATCCTAGACTAGGAGGAATCTGGGATTAGGAGTCGGTGACGCTGGCTCAACCATTGATGTGTCTGGGGCCAGGTGTCCTCATCTGTAAGGTGAACTGAGATATCTCTCTTGGGCCACTGCACTGTTAATGGCCAGGTCCTGGTGCCAGTTCACCCCCTTGGCCCTGGACCCAGGGCTGCTCCCCTAGGGTGGGCGGCAGTGGCAGGACTCTGCGGGAGCCTGGGTGGACCCTCTTCCTTGGGACTCCTTGAGTGTAGGCTCTGAACTCTGAACCCAGAGGCAGGTTCCCCCAAACCAGCCTCCTCCCTGACCATCCCTCAGCGTTTCCCATGTCCATAGTCTTGGGTGTCAAGCCAGCTCGGAGGAGATGGGGTG